TTTTTTTCCTTTAAAAAAAACGTCATTCCTTTTAATATCTTGAATGTAACTCGACACCCTCGCCTCATTTAGTATGCGCTGTTCTATGAATATGCAAATGAGCCCCGCCTCCACTCACTCACTCAGCTCAGAGATCCACTGGTTGACGATCACACGTTGATCTGATTGGTTACAAGGTCGTTTGTGACGTCAGAAACACCAGCGATTTCAAACCGTGTTTTTGAGACTGTCTTTGGTTCACTGCAGTTTTAAGGAGGAAATACTCAGCAATGCTGTCGACTTATGAACTTACACATGGTGTGTCTTAAAGCGTATTAAACACACCACATAGGTTTTTTTGCTTATTTTCCATAGACTGTATAAAAATATGTGCGTAGTGTGTGTGACGTCACCCGTAGTGTTTCTGAAGAGCATTTCTGAACCCCAAAGTGGGCGGAGCCGGCCGTCGCCATCTTGGCTGCGCGTCACTCGCGGATAAACGAACATGTGTAGCGCGGCGGATTAGCTGAGGTGACGCTAACACACAGCAGACAAACGGCTAGCAGTGACATCAGCGGCAATCCACCTGTCACTCAAGTGGCCACGCCCTTAATTATGCAGAACTTTAAGGCTTAATATAATAGAAATGGGTGAGTTATAAAAATATTCACCGTCCTCACAGTCGTCATGAAGGGCAACATTAGCGATATAGACCAAAACCACTTTTTGCACCAGGCCGTAAACATGTTTATTCTGCTGTAAAGTTGGGCATTTTAACATGCGGGTCTATGGGACGGAGTCTCTTCTGCAGCCGGCCTCTAGTGGCCAGTGGAGGAACTGCAGGTTAACTCACTCACTGTTGATTCAAGAGAGAGACAGGAAGGTTGCAGTTGGTCTCACCGTGTGTGTGAGCGAGCGCTGCTTTACTCATCGCAGACGTGGTTCGATGTGGTTTCACCCTGTACGCCCGCGGCCCGAGATCCGCCACCAACCCGACAGGAAGTGCCACAGGAAGTGAGAAAACGCATCGCTGCGCACCTGCAAACACACTCTCAGCGGCCGGTGCGCGCAGGTGCAGACGCCCATCTGAGGACACAAGAGATCAGCTGTGTTCAGTGTGTGATGTTGAACAAGCTCCAGTTCTTCTCTATATCAGTGTCAGTGTTTCTGAACTACTGAAACGCCTCCATTGTAGTCTTGAGTTTCTTCCGGGAATGAACACATCACAATATTCCTCATTATAATAATTCATGCGCAGAATAAAGGGGCGGGGCCTGGTTGAGTTAGTCAGTAGTGTGTTAAACTGGCGGTTATGGAAAGGGGCGGGACATTTCCCAAACACACTCGAAGCGCTCAACCAATCACAACACACCGATCCAGCCGACCAATCAGAGCACAGTGTGCTTTTCAGAAGGAGGGGCTTCATAGAGACAGGAAGTAAACAGAGCGTTACTGACAGACTGGGAAGAGAGGAGCCGCAACAATGGAGAATATGAGGAGAATAATCAACATTCAAGCAGGAAAACCTGCACAAAAACAACATCTAGGTCTTCTTTAAGAAATAAAAGATGTAAAGTGAAACAATCACTGCCATATAATAAACATACAGACAGAAACTATATTTACAGGGTGATATTTCGCAGAGTTCTGTACCGGTTCTGGACGGGTTTGGTTTCATGGAGTCCACATTCAAAGCTTTCTTCAGTTCATCTGATAACCTCAGATCAAGCTGGCAAAAGAATAAAGTGACATTAAAGTTATTCTCATTTAGCATGACTATAGTTCATGAATAAGTGGTTGATAACAACCATATTGAATAAAAACATTTTAAAAGCCTATGGAGAAAAAAATGCTCTGTTTGAAATATTATCATTAATTCAGTAATATTGTTGATTTAACTTTCAGATGAGAAAACAAATTGAACTGAATAATAACTAAAGCTGCTTTACAGCTGAAATTGAATTTGTCTAATTTTTTATTCTGTTATTTTCCTGTTTATTAGCGTGAAGCTGACTTGAAATGTGTATTGTTTAAAGTGCTATAGAAATAAAGCTATAAATTATCCATACATAAAACGTTTGCACCATTGACCCTCAGAAACCACGTAAAAGAACATGAACTCGAGTCACAGCCTTCAGTTCCATAACACTTACATGTTCATTATACAGTCAAACCAAAGATTGGTTTCAGGACACTATAGTCATTTATGTAAGTGAGAAGAGCAAAATAAAGTAAACTGTGGCATATTACACCCAAATATTCTTCATACAGCGACTACCAGTAACATTTGGGAGCAAATATTATCCCGACACTTTGAGCTGATCATGTTTTCTTCAGTGTGTTTTCTGTAACTGCTAATGCTCTTTTTACACACACACTGAACAACATGAAGCATTGCTTGGTCACTGGTTGAGCTAAACTGGTATTATCTAAGGCCCCGTCCACACTACTGCGTTTTCGTTTAAAAACGGAGACCTTTTGCTACGTTTGCACCTCCCGTCCACACTAAAACGGCAAAAAC